AGGAATAGTTCCCCATCTGCCCAAAATGGCAGTGGAGTAGTAACTCCACTGCCAGAGCACTGGCCTCACTGGATAAGGAGGCTGAATTCTAAGGATTAGAAGCATCACTTGAAGTTGGTTAACAAAGAAAGCATTGACAATTAAATGCCTTGGAAAATAATAGTAGCTGAATTTCCACTGTGCCTTTCTTATATGCCAGGCATGCTAGAAACTTCATATCCTTATCTTATTTAAAACTCACAACTACACTATACAGGAGGTTTTGTTATTATCCACATTTTACAGATAAAGAAATTGAGTGTCTAAGAGATGGTGACCTAACCAAGTCACATATGGTACAGCCAGAATGGAACTGCAGGTCTATTTTATCCCAAAGCCTACACTGTTAAGCAATGCCATACTCAGCTGCAGAAAGGGAGGTCCTTGTGACTTTATCATTAGTGCAAAGGTAGAATAGGATGGTCTCATGTTGATCACCTCAAAGCCAAGCAAAGAGAAACTTGATTTTCCCTCACTCCCTTCCTTCCTTCCGCCCTTTCACAATTGCTGCTCACACACTGTATGTCAGGAACTGTGCCAGGCAATAAGGTACACTACTGAGTAAGGGACAAAAGGTATCCATTTGAGGAAAGAACACAGAGAAGTAAAGAAATGTGAACTGTAATGAGAGGGTGGAGGCTGACAAAATAAATGTCCCCAAGTGAATGGGATGTGGTGGCATGGGAGAACCATGCCAAGCCCAAATGAAGCAGGGCAGGGCCAGCTGCCCAATCCCAGTACGAAGAGGGCATTGTGGAGGTATTGGAAACCCACATGCAGGCTAAATGCTGCATATTCATAGCAGGGTGACAGGATGTGATATCTGGTATGGAAATGCCTTAGCAACAATTTCCTAAATGAGATTTCATAAGGGACAACACAAAGCCTGAAGTTCTGCGGGGCTAGGGTTGGTAGGGAGTGTTTTGGCTGGTGCCGAGCTAGTTATCTGGTGACTGTCAAAAATGTCTGCAATACACTGGCCTTTAAACTGAACCTCATGGCTCCAGTTGTATCAACTGCTTTGATCCTGTCATTCACTCGCTTCAGTCCTATCTTCTCTTGCTGAATTCTCTGTCTCTCATCACCCATGAGATCAGCCACATTCTTAGTTGTGACCCTGTTTCTGGCTCAACACTCTTTCCTCTTTCTTGACTTTCAGGGGCTCTCCTGCCATCCTGTGTCTTCACTCTCTAGTCCCTGCCATTTCTGGCTGCTCAGAATAGCTCTGGGGTCTCCTAAAGGGCTGGCACTACCATTAGACTTGCTTCAGCCAAAAGAGGAATTGAAAACAACAGAGCCTCAGCCTTCAGACACTAGCAGCATCAGAAACCTGGGTGCATTCTTCTGTCATCTATTCAACAAATATGTACTGAAGACTTATTATTCCTTATACTTTTCTGGGGGGAACGAAAAAAAATTTCTCTGCCCCAAAGGAATTCATACTTTGACAATGACAATTAAGTAGAACTTGAACTATACCATCTATATATATGCTTATACTTCCCACATTTAAGACTCTTGCTCTAAAATCTCCCTCAAGCTTCACACTCATGTCTAACTCACTATCTGACATTTGTACTTGGCTGTCTGATAGCATTTTAAAAATAATATGTCCAAAATATAACTTTTTCCTTTGAATGTGAATCTTTGCTGCTCTTTCTCTTCTTTGCACACAGGAAGGATGGAGGATGGAAGGGAGGATGAGGAACTTCAGGTCGCTCTGTAGCATGGCCTCTAGAGCAGAATGCTAAAATGCTGAATATAGCCTAAGGGAGTCCCCCACACAAAAGAATGTTTCTTTTTGAGGTATGAGTGGGTGCTGGAGAAGAGTAAGCAAGAGGGAGGGGAGGAGTGAAAGCCCAGGCAAACTTCTATCTCTGCAGATAAATCAAAATCTAGGAGTTACTTTTGTTTCCTTTCTTTCCCTTAATAATCCTTATATCTAATCCATCAGCAAACCTTGTCCATTCTGCCCTCAAATAGGTCCTGAATCTACCCACTTCTCCTCAAATCTGTTTGCACCACCCAGATCCACTAACAGGCTATTGCTGGCCTACAGAGCTCTCTGCCATTTGAAAAATGTGCCCTTCCTCCAGGCCTTCACAGCCTGGCACTGGGACAGTTGCTGGCAAGAGGAACATAGGCTGAATTTCAGCGACTTGACCCCCACAAGCTGGTCTCCTGTGCAGTAAGTAACCTGCAGAAACACAGTTGCAGTCCTGCCATCAGCTTCTCTCCTATACTACTGGAGGGCCTCCCGAATGCCCCTCTGATAGTCCAGTCTCCACACAGCTCCAAATGGTCTTTTAAAATCTCAAACCCAATAACATCACTTCACTGCTTAAAACTTTTCCACCAAACTTTACCTTGACCTGCAAAGTCCTGCAGAATCTGGTCTCAGTCCACCTCTCTAATATGCTGACCAACTGTGTCACTCCAGGCTGCTTTTCTCTTCCTTAAAAACATCAAACTTCTCTCTCCTAGTAGAACCCTCTCCCTGACAAAAGTGTCTACCTTTCTTTCCTGTTTCCACTTAGGACCACAGTACATAGAACTGACTTAATCTTATTACATAGCCCACCATACACTCTCATCATTAGCCCATGCGCGCCCTGTCATACTTTGCTATTGACTAGTTATATTTAATAACGTAACAAGCACAACTTGTCCTACCAGCCAAAACTCCATTGCAACCTCCTGAAACAGTCACTGACTTGCCTCTAACCATATGGTACCCCTGTTTCTCCTCCATTTCAGGTAACCATAATCACAAAATCACAAATTTCCTGTTTATCATTCTCTTGCTTTCCCATTTATATAACGTTATTGCATACACACACACACACACACATACACACACGCCCCTACCTAGTTGGTTTATTTTAGTAGTTTTTATTATGCTATATGTAATATTTTAGACTTCATTTTCACTTAATATTATATTGCTAAAAGCCAATCATATTGTTATGCCATTTTGTTTATTCATCTTTGACTGCCGTATAATATTCTTTTGCACAACAATACTACGCTACTCATCACTAGCACAAGGTGCTAGGCCTTGGTTGTCCCTCCAGGCTTTCATTATTGGAAATCAGGCTGCTAAGCATATTCACATGCATGTCTTCCATTGAAGATGTAAAAAGTTTCCCACAGGTATACACTTAACACACAAGTTGAACTATTCATTCACATATGTTCAAATGTTCAAACTAGGATATACTATCAAACTGTTTTCCAAAGTCTTTGTACCAATTCATACTCCCACCAGCAATGCTTGGACATCCTTTGGACCCACATATTCTTCAACCACTTGATACTGCCAATCTTTCAATTTGGGCCAACCAAATGCATATAAAATAATATCTTATTTTGGACTTAATGTGCATTTCCATTACTAAAGGTAACAGCCATCACTTCATATGTTCATTTGCTATTTGTCTTTCTTCTCAATTCTTCAAGTCACTACTAACCAAGAGAACTTCCCTGTCCACTCACCATGTGAAAACAGCCACTCTAGTACATTACTCTGTTCTCTTTTCTTTCCTTTTTTTTTTTTTTTTTTTTTGAGACAGACTCTTGCTCTGTCACCAGGTTGGAGTGTAGTGGCACCATCTCAGCTCACTGCAACCTCCACTTACCGGGTTCAAGCAATTCCCCTGCCTCAGCCTCCCAAATAGTTGGGATTACAGGCATGCACCACCAGGCCCAGGATGGTCTCCATCTCCTGACCTCCTGATCTGTCTGCCTCAGTCTCCCAAAGTGCTGGGATTACAGGCGTGAGCCACTGCGCCTGGCCATATTCTCTTTTCTTTATGGTATCTGCCACTGCCTGAAATTATCTAGTTTATTTATTGATAAATAATCTGTCTCCCTCAACTGAAATACAAGCTCCAAGGATCTTGGTTGCCTTGTCTACTGTTGCAGCTCCTAGAACAGCATCTGGCACAGACTGGATGGATGAATATGTGAGTGACAGAGATATGTAATGTATGAAGAACTCTGTTCTAGATTCAGATGCTGAGCTTCAATCTTGGCTCTCCCACTTACTGTCTGATTATGAATAAACTACTTAATCATCTGTTTCTGAGTTGTCCCATCTGTAAAAAAGACATAATAGTACTCCTTACTCCGTGGGGTAGTTATGAGGTTTAAATGAGTTAATATTTGTAAAGTTCTTAGAATACCACAAACACAGCAAGTGTTCGATAAATGTGTTATTATTATTAATGCAAGATTTCTGTTATTGCTACTTCATGGCTTGAGGGCATAAAGGCACCAAGCCGCCTGAACCTAATGAGCTTCCTTCTTCCCTGCAAGCTCTGCATCCCTTGGTCTTGCAGATGCTGATTCCCACACCCTAGAGAAGGAAGTAGAGAAGAGGTGGGAGTAAGTTTTTGAGGCAATTTATCTTCTAGAAAACAGTCTGGTCACCCCCAACCTGAAGAAGTTGAACAGAAGCACAGAGTAGGTGCTCAACAAAACCTAATGAATAAATAACTCATAAACCATCAATGCATATACCCTTATAACCTCAGTATTACATGACACACAAAAATCACAAACCTTCTGCCCTCTCTCCCTTCATTTGGTTCATATTTTCATGGAAAAGAAAGAGAAGTTAGAAAGGGGGATGGGAAAATAAATAAAAGATTGGATAAAGAAAGAGGAGAGCAAAGAAAGAGGACAAGAGGGCAAAGATGAAAGGAAGGATGGGGAACTTCAGGTCGCTCTGTGGCATGGCCTCTAGTGCAGAACGCTATAATGCTGAATATAGCCTAAGGGAGTCCCCCACCCGGGAGAATGTTTCTTTTTAAGGTATGAGTGGGCGCTGGAGAAAAGTAAGCAAGAGGGAGGGAAGGAGTGAAAGCCCAGGCAAACTTCACTTCAGCATCTTGCCTGGGGGAGGCTAGTCCCCATAAAATCTGTGGCCCTAGTCAATGTCACCTTAGTCGCGACCTTACCTCATTCTGCAAGCAGGAGTCCCGCTCCATTTGAAGCTCAAATTTGCCTCAAAGCGGTAAATGCGGCCTTGGTTAAATGCGCCAGTGGGCAAAGCCGAAGTGCGAGTCCACTGGGAATTCCGGCAGGTTCACCGGGAGAAACTGTTTCCATCTGAGGAGAATCAGGAGTCCTAAGCAGGACCAGCTGCCTCTCCGGGCGTCAAATTCCGTGCCTTGCCTGCTTGCGGCCCGGGAGAGCGCCCCCGGATCCCCAGCTCCAGGGCGCAGAGAGCCGGCCGGGGAGCCTCGAGGCGCAGGCGAGCCGGGCCCCCGCTGCCCACTCGCTGCTGATTGGGGTCCACCTTTGGGGCGCCCAGCTCCCACCTGGCTGCCCCTGCTTCGGTACTGACTGTGCTAAACACTGAACCGAGTCCCAGGCGCCCAGCTGAGACCGGGGACTCCCTCCTTCTCGAGTCCTTGGCTGGCAGGAACAAGCCCTGTAGGCGGGGGCCCGAATGCTCAGGGTGTCGCCGACCTTGAGGCTACCGAGGGGTGTGCATGCGCCAAAAATAAACGCGCGCGCGCGCACACACACACACCGTTTCCTTTTGATACTTCCCACCCCGAGAAAGTAGCAGTCCTTATGCAGCACTGGAGAAGGAATGCCGCTGAAGAGGAAAAGCCAACGTGATTCCCAAAACCAAATTTGGGGATGTTTTTAATTTTAGGTTTGGATTTATGCCTCTCGAAGGTTTAAAAAAAAAAAAAGATATGGAACAAATTCCATCGTGTGTATGTGTGTGTGTATGTGTGTGTTTTCTAAGGCCGAATTTCAGGTGTTAACCGGAGGGAGGTTCAGAGGAAAGAGGGAGGAAGAGAATCGCAGACTATGTATTGTTCCAGTGCAAGGTTAGAAACGTGCCTTGATTCCCATTCCCAGCGCGGTCTCCATCCCGCAATCCCCGGCTGCCGCAGGAGCTGGCCGGCGTCGCACGGGTTAAGGCCGCGCGCCCGCCAGTCGGCTTCCCCTGGCCCAGAACGCGCTGCGGCGGCGGAGGGGAGAGCCGGGAATCTCCCGCCCGCTCCCCCTCCGGAGGGCGCTTCCCTCCCCGCTCTATTTATAGCTCCACTTCCAGCTGCTGCAGGGAACTCACCAGCCGCGCTGAGCATTTTGAGCTCTCCAAGAGCCTTCCAGACAGGGGATTTTCATAAATTCTGTGAATGGCAGAAATGTCTCCAGCCTTCTGGATTTTGGTTGCCACTCTTCAGTCTGTCTTTCATATATTCTATTTCCAAGTTGAAAAAACAAAAACGGGAGCCAAGAAGATTTTGAGACAAGGGGTGAATGAGGGCTGTTTGTCATGCAGGGACCCCTTTGTTACCACATGCCGGAAAGAAGAATTCCGTGGATTCACTGGCTTCAGATTCATTTCATATTTTCTGCAACACTCAGCCTGTCCAAGGTTTTGCCTGTCAGCCATGTGGCAAAAAAAGAGGTATGAAGCAAATTTAAGACCCATGAAAAATCACATCCTCTGCCATCTGATTACCTGCTGACGAGGGGCCTCAAGGCTGGCTGGCTGCATAAAAAGCACAGTTGGGTGGTCTGTGTGTCAAATCCTCCACCAAATCCCCAAAGACAACAGGCTAGTTATGGTGCCACAGACGGGTTCTCGGCCCCAGTGGATCCCGGTGACACAGGGAAAAAACAAATTCCATTCCCTGGAGTCTTACCTTCAGTATTAAATGGAACACATTGTACCAGTCAGGAAGATTCTAAACTGATACCTTACTCCTAAGCCCCTTTTTCCAATTACTCCTTCCTGAAACTAAATTGAGCCTCTGTGATTTGCAAAGCCCCCATAGGTGCCCTGGGAGCTAGAGAGGAGCAAACAGCATCTGCCTTGGCAGCATTTAGCCAAGACTCTGCTCTAATAGGTGTGGAAGGAAGCTTGCCCAGCACCAAAGAGGCACTCAGAGAGGCCTGAAAGGTGGTGCTAAGGCACCCACCTCTGTCCCTCCTTCCTTATCCTCTCCCTTCCAGTCTCCAAGTTTTCCTTTTAGGGTTGATTCCAATATAGTGAGAAGTTACTTGTTTAATTGCATTTAATCAGAATGATCCTAGAATGAGACTTTCATTAACTGAACTTTCCGGTAATCTATGAGCTAAGTAGAAACCCCTTTCGGTTTAGTTCCTTATTGTTGAAGCACTTTGCCCTTGTATTCACTTTCCTGCTCCAGTAAAGAGAGGGTACCGAACATGCCGTTTCAGGGACCAGTCAGGCACTGGGAGTGTATCAGGGAGATGCCAGAGAAAGGTGTTGGAGCCCATGTCCTGAGTTCATCCCAGCTGTTCATATGATCTTGCTCAATTTGCTTTACTCTCTGTGCCTTAATTCCTTATCTATCAAATGTGAATAACAGTAACATCACCACAACATGACCTCAATTCTTTTAAAGGGCCCCAGAACCTTTGAAATTAACCTGTGCTGGCAGCTGTACTTGCTTACAGAAACCAAGGGCAGGCTGAATGCCAGTAACCATGAATAAGTCAAATGAAAAGATGAGAACTGAGCTCACCAGTGCTACCCCTACCTGAATCTTCTTCGCCTCACATGATAAAATCTCTGCAGGGGATGGAGGTGGGGGAGGAGATGCACTTTGCAGGCACATACAGGGTCTGGTGCAAAAGAAAGACTAAGCACACTACAGTTCTCCCTCGAAGGCCCCACATCTTTCCATAAATCTCCACCGGCAGTCTCCACCTTCGTTCCCTAAGGGATCTTAAAAGTGCCCCTTCACCACACCCCCTAGGAAGGTGCTTTGAGCTTGAGCTCTCCTTCTCCATTCCTTGCTCAACAAATAATGTTTCTGCTCTGCTTTATGGAAACTGGTCTTGTTCTATTGGTGTGAATGGCACCAGGCAGGAAAAGGACCCACTGGTGTCCAATGACCCCCCTTAAGGGCCTGTGACAGGAACAGTAAATACCACATGGCATTTGTGTGAAATTAAAGGTGGTAATCTACATAAATTGCTTAGACTAGTGCCTGGCCTGTGGTAAAGCTCAGTAAACATTAAATGTTATTACTGCATAAATATGAGCAGGAGTTGATCTAGCTGAATTTGTACAAAGGGATATTTAAATAAAATCTGTTTTATCTGTGTAAATCCATGCTATAAATTAGTTTCCTTTTCATCGTATAAAGGAGATCCCCCAAGTCTTTTCATGGATAAGGGAGGGCCCTGGTCACCAACCCTACATTTTCTTCTTGCAGTAAAAGAAAACAGCTCCTCGAAAGGCCTTTAAAAAGTCTCACTGCTAATCCATATAAAACACACTCTGACGTCTAGGTTAAAGAATCACCCGCTTACACTGGTTCATTGCTGTCCTGAGGATAGCACTTTCATATATGAAAAGTTCTTTAAACATAAAAACACACCATGAAGTTTTCGAACAAACTAAAGGTGAAGTATTTCTAGTTAGCTGAAAACTCGGAGCTCAATACAAGTTTGTACAGTATCTTATTTCTCCTTCTAAAAAAGTAGGCTCTAGAAGGTAGGAACTGGGTTCTATAAGTAGTAATACTGTGGCAAAGAGGCCTGGTTATCTTCTCCAAAACCCATATTCACCTTCTTTAAAAGAACACCCTTGATGTTTAGCCTTGCAACCAGGTGTGTTTACGTGACAAAGTTCAGGCTAATGAGCTATAGAAGTGTCACATGGAAGATCCAAGAAACCTCTCCAAAGATGCTGGCTGTGGTGGGTTTTTACTGTGTCAACTTGACTAAATTGGAATGATAATTCCCAGAATTATGTTCCTCATGTGGTTCTTAGCTAGCATGGGCCACAAGAGAAATTTGCACCATCTTAGAAGGTAGAGGCAAAGCAGGAACCATGTTTATGCTAGGAGGGTTGGTGTAGAGTCAGGTGCTGTTACAGCTCATGAATCTTATCACAGATCTGCTGGATCACTTTGTCAGCATGAGAGAGAGGACAGGTTGGCAGCAACTCCTGCTGAATCTCCTCCTTTAGTTTCTCCATCTCCTGGACAAGGTACATGTCAACTCCATGACCGACAATACCAACTTCCCCTACAGGTCACCAGCAGTGTGACTCTACCTACAGGCTTGGAGGTAGAGACTGATGCAGGTTCTGCTGTGTCTTTGTCTTCATGGGTTCCAGGATATCATTATTTTCTCTCATATGTCTGTATCACTTAGGGTTTCACCAGAGAAACAACCAGTAGGGGACACACACATACCATTAGCTCTCAGTAGCCATGGGGGATTGGTTCCAGGATGCCCCCTGGATACCAAAGTCCACCCATGCTCAAGTCCCTTATAAAAAATGGAGTAGGATTTGCACATAACCTATGCACATTCTCCTATATACTTTAAATAATATCTAGATTACTTACATACCTAATACTATGTAAATGCAAAGTAAATAGTTGTTATACTGTATTGTTTAGGCAATAATGACAAGAAATAAAAGTCTGTATGTGTTCAGTAGATGCAACCATTCATTCTTCTCCCAATATTTTTATGGAGGGCTAACTGGGTGTATACATCTGTATATATCTATATATGCTCAATTTGCTTTACTATCTGTGTTTCAATTCCATATATATATATATATATATATATGATATATACAGAGATATAAGAATAGGCTTATGTGCTTGTCGGGGTTGGTATGGCAAATCAGGTATCTGTAGGGCAGGCTGTCAGGAAAGACAGACTGGGACTTTCAGGCATGAGCTGAAGCTGCTGTTAAGAAGAATTCCTTCTCCTTCTAGAAAGCCTCAGTTCTACTCCTAAGACCTTTCAAGTGATTGAATCAGGCCCACACAGATCATCTAGGATAGCCTTCCTTAAACTGATTAGAGACTTTAATTATACCTGCAAAATATTTTCACAGCAACATCTAAATTAGAGTTTGGCTGAATGACTGGGGACTGCAGCCTAACCACACTGACTTATAACACTGGCCATGAAGACAGCCTGTCCTGCTTTCTTTAGGCCTCATACCATATGCAGAACCAACACAGCAGAATATACATAATTTAACCAGATGTGGAAGATCAAGTCCCTAAAACAAATCCCTTAGTTTATTTTCTTCCTCATGGATCTGCTTCTCTGATCTACCCTGACTCATATCAGTACAGTGGCACAATCCTTTGCCCCACTCTCCTTTTCCACTACCCTACTGTCTAGAATACAGATATGATGGCTAGAGGAGCCAATGTGGACATGAGGACAGGGGTGGTGGAGAGGTGAACTGCCAGGATCTTTGTCTTAAACATTGCAGAGCCACCATGTCACCCCTGAGCTGCCTGTCTCCATACTCATTTCACATGACAGAGAAATCTATGTCTATCTTCTTTAAGCCACTGCTATACTGTTTAGTGTTGCTTGTATAAAATTCATTCTAAGTACTATGTCTTCTACATAGAAATACGTTATAAATAGACATTAGAAGACTCAAGAGTGATACCATCCTGCATTAGAGACAGGAAGTCGCTGAATTATTTCACTTCCTTTTATCCAGTTTTCAAGGGAAATCTGTTATAGGTAATCACATATAAGCCAAACACAGCCACTCACTCTGAAGCCTTAAACCAAGTTAATTTAATTGGAGAAGGTCCTAATTTTCACATCTATAAAATGAGAATTTTAGATGAGATAGTTTCTAGTATATTTACAATTCTAAAGCATATATGAACTGTGAGTGCAGGACATACTAGAGGTGCTTTGCAGGATGGGAATAAAGTGTGTCAGAAGGTAGAGATAGATTCATGAAAAATTTTACCAGTCAGATGGAGAATTATCTATGCAAATTATTTTACATGAATTATCCACAACTTCTCTATGCCTTCCTTATTATGTAGAATATAGGTTGCACAAGGACTGGCATTTTTGCCTGTTTGTATCATTGACACATCCCAAGAATCTAAAGTGATACCCTGCACCATGGGAGCTTTCAGTAAATATTTATTGACTGAATGAATGATGCAGGTATTTCACCA